CTCCAGTGTCTGCCAGATCTTTCTGGAGGGATCGTGCAGTCAAACGTGGGTTTTGAATTGTTTTTCTCACAATCCTGCGAGCTGTTCTGTCTGATATTTTTCTTGGTCTTCCAGATCTTGCTTTAACTTCCACTGTTCCTGATGACTGCCATTTCTTAATTACATTCCAAACAGAGGATATTGACATCTGAAAACGCTTTGCTATCTCCTTATAGCCTTCTCCAGCTTTGAGAGCGTCAACTATTTTCAGTTTCAGTTTTCTAGAAAACTGCTTAGAAGAACCCATGGTGCTGATTGTTGGGGCAAGGTCAGATGAGTCTGGGCATTTAAAACCTTTGAGATTGACATAACCTGGTCTTCCCAGACGATGATTGAGAACAATCCATGACACTGGCAGGTCTCAGCTTTGCAACGGGGGCAGTGCATACTATAAATTCTGCAGGGTGCCCAAACTTTTGCAGACGCCATTTTTTGTTTTCTGTTATTTTGAAAGTGTAAATGATGGAAATAAAATCTAACTTTTGTTGACATATTATAAGAATGTCTAATCTGTAATTTGATGCCTTTTGGAGATTTTTCCATCTTTCCTTGGCTTCTTTATGCACATTAATACAAATTTTTAGCTGGGGTGCCCAAACTTTCGATCCCCACTGTATATATATGTGTGTGATTTTGCATTTCCAGGTAGGAGTTGCGCACGCGCCCCCTACCTGTGCCGCTATTGGCTCCTTGGCATGTCAGTCACTGGATCCTGGCCGCCAGTTCTCAGCCGGGACTCCGTGATTGTCGGCAGAGCTAACGGGAGAGGTCTGTATATAAACAAAACAGATCTCTCCCGTCAGAATGAACATGCTGCTTTGTATTTGCAATACAAAGAAGCGTGTCTCCCTAGTAAAACATACACAGCAAAAACACACACAGCACACAGTTAACCTTTTGATTGCCCCAGATGTTAACCCCTTCCTGCCCAGTGTCATTAGTACAGTATCAGTGCTTTTTATTGACACTGATCACTGTATTAGAGTCACTAGAGATGTCAGTGACAGTTAGTCCCCCCCCCCCATTGTCAGAATGCCTGCACAGTCCCACAATAAGTTGCTGATCGCCGCCATTACTAGTAAAAATTCCAGTATATATACCGCCATTTGTAGACACTATAACTGTCATGTAAACCAATTAATTTACACGTATTTGGATTTTTTTTAGCAAAGACATGTAGCAGAATACATTTTGGCCTAAATTTATGACGAAATTTGATTTTTTTACTACTGGACGTGTTTAATAGCAAAAAGTCAAAAGTATTGTTTTTTTCTCAAAATTGTCAGTCTTTTTTTTTATAGCGCAAAAAAAGAAAAATTGCACAGGCAATCAAATACCACTGAAAGAAAGAAAGCTCAATTCATGGGAAAAAAAGACATAAATTTAATTTGGGTGTAGCGTTGCACGACTGCGCAATTGTCAGTTAAAGTAATGCAAAAAATAGCCTGGTTAGGAAGGGGGATAAATCCTCAGGAGAGCAAGTGGTTAAACTACTATAAGCTTAGTGGTTATTGGTTACTATGCAGCACTATACATCATTGCTTTTTGCGCAATATTTTGATTATAAACTGATATGTTTATGTACACAAAAATCATCCTTGTTGATTTTTTTTAGCAAACATATGTAACAGAATACATTTTGGCCTAAATTTATGAAGAATTAATTTTTTTTTTTTTTACTGGACTCAAACACTTGCCTACTGGGCACTGTCACCCCTTCCTGCCCAGGCCAATTTTCAGCACTGTCACACTTTGAATGACAATTGCACGGTCATGCAACACTGTACTCATAGGACATTTTTCATCAAACTGAGATTTCTATTGGTGGTATTTAATAGCCACTGGGTGTTTTATTTTTTGCTCTATAAACAAAACAAAGAGAAAATTTGGAAAAAAAAAAGGTTTTCTTTGTCTATTATAAAATTTTGCAAACAGGTAATTTTTCTCCTTCGCTGATGTGCATTGATGAGGCAGCACTGATAGTTGGCACTGATGAGCTGGAACTGATGGGTGGCACTGACTGATGTCACTGCTAGGCAGCACAGATGGGTGGCACTGCTGCGCACAGGTGGATGGCACTGCTAGGCACATGTGGGTGGCACTGCAGGGCACAGGTGGGTGGTACTGCAGGGCACTGATCATCATGGCAGTGATGATCAGTGTCCTGATGATCAGTGCTGTTAACTTCTCTCACAATTGCTGGTCATCAGCAGTGCTTTCCTCACGCTGTTAAGTGCAGCCGATAACTGGCAACTGTATTTACTGGTCACTGTACACAGCTGATCACGTGGTAAAAGGCCGCTGTGATTAGCCGTTGATCAGCTATCTGTAGGACACAGCGATCACCGGCGGCATGTGTTCTGGAATGACATCCATGGACGTCGTCCCACAATTAGACAACTGTGATGTGGCTGCCCTTCAGCTATAGCGAGGAAGGGAAGAAGTTAATAGCAAAAAGTCAAAAACATTTTTTTTTCAAAATTGTGGGTCTTTTTTTGTTTATAGCTCAAAAAAATGAAAAATGCACAGGTGATCAAATACCAACAAAAAAAAGCTCTATTTGTGGGGGGGAAAAAAAGGATGTAAATTTAATTTGGGTGAAGTGTCGCATGACCGTGCAATTGTTAAAGTAACGCAGCGCCGTATCACAAAAAATTACCTGGTCAGGAACGAGTGCAAATCCTCTGGAGGGAAAGTGGTTAACCACATGCCACCCAGCCACTGTATAAATACGGCGGCAGGGCAGCATGGCTGGGCAAAAGCACGTTTTAAAATGTGTGTTTTGTAAACAGGTAGGGGACGTGCGCGAGGCGCGCCACCGCCCTACCTGTCCCGCCGATCACAGCTGCGGATGTCAGTCGCTGGGTCACAGCCGGTCGTTACCGGCTATGTCCCGGCGATCGGCGGCAATCGCCGACAGAGAGCACAGCTGCAGTAGTTGTGCTTTCTGTCAGTTCCCTGACAGCTCCAGGACATGCCGATCGGGACAGAAGAGTTTCTCTCTCCCGATCAGCGGTGTTCCCTGCAGTACACACCCCCGCCCCTAGTAAAACACTCCCCTCACACAGTTAACCCTTCCCTGAATAATAAACTTAACCCCTTCCTCCCCAGTGCCATTAGTACAGTGTCAGTGTTGTTTTTTTTTTGCATTGATCACTCTATTGGTGTCACTGGGGATGTCAGTGACCCCAAGTCAGTACCCCCCAATGTCAGAATGTCCGCCGCAGTCCCCGCCATAAGTCACTGATCGCCGCCATTATTAGTATTAAAAAAAAACCCTAAAAATCCCAGTATCTTTTCCGCCATTTGTAAATGCTATAACTTTCACGTAAACCAATTAATTTACATGTATTGTTTTTTTTTTCAGCAAAGACATGTCGCAGAATACATTTTGGCCAAAATTTATGACTAAATTTGATTTTTACATTGTTTTTTTACTGGACATGTTTTATATCAAAAAGTCCAAAATATTGTTTTTTTCCCTCAAAATTGTCAGCCTTTTTTTTATAGCGCAAAAAATAAAAATCGCACAGGCGATCAAATACCACCGAAAGAAATCTCAATTTGTGGGGAAAAAAAGGATGTAAATTTATGTACCGTATTGTATGACCGCACAATTGTCCGTTAAACTAGCGCAGCGCTGTATAGCAAAAAAATGGCGTAAATTGCAGCATCTATACCATAGTTTGTAGACGCTATAACCTTCACATAAAGCAATCAATATACACTTATTGGTATTTTTTTTACCAAAAACATGGAGCAGAATACATTTTGGCCTAAATTTATAACCAATTTTGAGTTTACTATATATTTTTTATAGCTGAAAGTAAAAAATATTGTTTTTCTTCAAAATTTTTGGCCTTTTTTTGTTTTATACCGTGAAAAATAAAAAGCGCACAGGTGATCAAATACCACTGAAAGAAAGCTCTATTTGTCTGAAAAAAAGGACGTAAATTTCGTTTGGGTGCAGCATTGCATGACCGCGCAATTATCAGTTGAATTAGTGCAGCGCTGAGTACCAAAAAAGAGGCCTGGTCATTAAGGGGGGTAAATCCTCAGGAGGGCAAGTGGTTAAAGTAAAAACAATGCCTAGGCTAGTACTTGGATCCTTGGTTTGGAGGGGTAAATAACTAGGGACATAGGACAACCATGCAGATGCTGGAATACTAAAGGCAGAATGTGAAATCTCTATGTATTGGCCCATGGCACACTTCTGCTCTACTTATGAAAGGGAAAGAGATAAGCCAATGAGATGAGTGCAGCAGCCCGGCTGACCCCGCCCCACCGCCTGCCAGCCTCAGAAGCCTGGCTGGCCCCTCCCCCTGCCAGTCTCAGCAGGCTGTCATTGTTCCTGACACCGGGGCCCTTCTTCACTAATAGGCCGCTTTGGCGTGCGGGAAAGGCTTGGTAACGTCATCACGGCGGGTTTGGTTCCCCGAAAGAAAAAAGAAAAATCAACAGACAAAAGCGGCAGAACGTCCTTATCGCATTCGTATTTGTTTATCGCAATAAAGTTCCTCGTATTAAAAAACCCGTCAATATTAGTGACATCTGCGACCCCGTTGCCGCGCTACAACCAACCTTGCTAAAGAAAGGTAAAAAGGAAAGGGGCGTGTGCACGGAAAACAACAGCCAATCGGAAACGCGAACGGTAAAACCCGGCTTCGTTAAACTCCAATGGAATCGTTGGTTGTGACGGCTGAAGGCGTGACCGGGTGCTCGGCGTATTCATGGTTGTGTGCGAGACGGTGAGGAGGAGGAGGGAGCCGGCGGCGGAAGGGAATCTCCCGCCATTTTTCAATCCCTTCTTTTCTTGTGTGTGTACGGAACCAGGGCGGGAAACCGGAGGGGGCTGGCCGTGATAGACGCGCAGTTTCTGTACAGCTACGTCATCAGCAGACGCGGAGCAGGGCCGTTGTTTTCTCCGGAGCCACGCACCGACCCTTCGCGTTGCTTTTGGGATGGCGCCGCTGTTGGGCCGCAGGCCTTTCCCGCTGGTCAAGCCGTTGAGCGAGCCGCCTTCCGAGGGGAGAGGAGGTGCTCATTATAGAACACACCAAGGAGGCGTTCAAGAGCCAAGAGTATCCTTCCTGACCGCTGCGGGGAGCCTGACCTCAGCATCAGCGGGGGTGGGGGAGGGAGGTGAGCGCTGTGCTGGGGATGGGGGGGATCTGTATACCGGAGAGCTCGGGACTCAGCTGGAGCCGATCAGGGGGAGCCGGCTATTTGTAGGCAGTTCCGGGGAGCCGGCTATTTGTAGGCAGTTCCGGGGAGCCGGCCTTGTCCTGCCATTGTTTAGGCGCTTCCGTATGAGTGGTGTGACGTCTGTGACATATCGGACCAGTCCGATCATCAATACGCTGTTCAGAGGGTTGTCATTGTAAGTACCTGGCGTTGGCTTGGGATCAGCCTCGAGTTTCATGGAGTTCTAGAAGCCTGCTGATTGGAGGAGAGAGCAGAGTGACAGGGATGGGCTTATCAGTCAGCTGCTTCTCTCATCACTGCCAGTCTTCAAGATGTATTAAGCCCAGAAGGCACACATTGCATCTTAGATGTGCTGGTTGATTTAGTGTTTGTTTTTAGTTATTTTTCTTGTTTCATCTGGTAGTTCTGCTAGTAACAGAACCAGCTGTCATGCAGATATAGCATTTAACCCGGGTTTACATTGATGTGGTTTTGGAATGCATTTTAGACCACGGGGAATCGCATGACATGGACAATAAAATGAGTTCCTATGGAGGTCGTTCACCTGTATGCTGTGCGTTTTGAAAAAAGTTGTGTCTTTGTAGCGGTGTGTAGAGTTCTATGTAAATCGCACATGAAATGCTTGTCTGATCACATCACATATGATTCCAGTGTGACGTTTGCCAAGTCTCCTGTGTTACTGACCTGCCTTTCAGAGAGAGACCAACTCCCCCCCCCCCCCCCTTACAAATCATAACTATATGAAAATCACAGGAAAATGCCTTGCCATCTAAGCTGACACACACAATCGGGGTTCTCAACAACAAGGGTGTAACTTTATTTTATGTAAAACCCTTATCCCAAAAGGAAAAATCTTCTGTTAACTGGAGTTTGGCTTCAGTCTGTTGGTGTATCTAAATCTGCTAGTACATCTAACACTTCTGTCCTCTCCCTGACTGACAATTCTGCTGTCCAGAGGTGCTCTCTGGGCTCCAGAGTGTTAGCACTCTAAGTAGGGAATAGCCAAAGTTGGATCCATCTATAGGCAGGTTGGTTGTACTGAAGTCAGTCTATGGATTGACAAGTTGTATTTTTGCATGCGATCTCCGCGATAGCCGCTGGCAGTGAACATTGTGTTTTGCTGGCAGGGAGACCAAATGACCACGGGCAAACAAGCCTAAAAAAGGAAGGGGTGACAAAAAAAACTAATGCAATCACATCTGATAGGTGAGCTGTAATTTATTACTTTTTAATGCAGCCCTGTAATCATCAATACACTATTCAACATATTTTTATTGTGAGTTTGGCTTGGGATCAGCCTCTGGGAGTCTATAGCAGAGCTCACACAGTTTTAGGGACCTCTAGAAAAATGCTGATAGGAGGAGAGAGCATGGTGACAGGTGAACTCATCATTGTTGCTGCTTTTCCTTTCTCTGTCCAGCCTTCAAGCCGATCTAACCTTCTTCTATACTTTTTCAACCAAGGAAGCTGCCATCTTTCAACCAAGGAAGCTGCCATCTTGGCCTCTTTGATCTGCAGCTGCCATGGTGCTGCTTGCACATTTGAAGAGTTGTGACACCAGCAAGTTGATGGTCTGACCGTTTGGTTGACAGCACAAGCAAATGTGACAGTTGCATGCCGGGAATGTAACTTTTTTGAGACTGTTAAATCGGTGGGATTAGTTCCGCTTTAACTTGGCCAAAGTTGTTTCCTTTTTATAAGATTCCTACATCCAAACAGTCGATGCGATTGAAGGAATCCTCCCCTCTGTGTTGTATTCTGACTCCTGCTCTGCCAGAATACATTGATCACGCTGCAGCCAATTGGCTACATGTGCTGATCAAACGCAAATTTTCCAGCATTCTGATTGAGAGGAGTCGATCACTAAATGGACTCCTCTCAAAGAGGAATGACCCTGGATGGATAAATTCAGCCAGTCCTTGCTGAACTCTTAATCCATCTATGGTCAGCTATAGACTGAGGAGGAGACCTGGGTCTTTTACATATAGTGGAGCTATACTCTCATCCTCGGCAGAGCTGCATTGTCTCAGAGCTCCCTCACTGGCTGCTGACATATTCAGACAGTCCCCCTGGGTACACATCTCAGCCCATTTTTATTGGTTAGTCTGAGATGATGGGAGTTCATTCATTTTGGCATGTGTCACCTCTGCATTTAATAAAGGAAAAAAAAAAAAACAATTGTTTTGCATTTTTTTTTTTAATTTCTTTTTTTTTAATTTAAAGTTTCACACTTAAGTGCCCCCCCCCCCCCCCCTTCCCTTTTTTTTTTTTTTTTTTTTTTTTTAACGTTTATTGCAGTGACTCCCGTTTTTCCACACTGGAAGAGTGTCAGTCACTACTAAAATGCAATGAAAAGTAGTTTTTTCTTTGTTCACACTGCAACAGAGCAGCTGTGCAGTGAGCTTGGATAAAATGCAGACATACTGGATTTTATCACTACACAGGAAAGTACCACATGTCACTGTACAGCAGTGCAATGCACCACGTTCACCACATGAAGTGTCAATTTTGTGCACTTCAAATAACGTTTTTAGAAAAGGGAGTTTTGTAAGATGGTAAAACGTGCATCTCACTGCTTGCTACTCACTGCAGCCTGGACAGAGCTCTGCCCACACACTAAACTGCTGTGTGAACTGGCCCTAACCACAACAGAGAGAGATCAGGTCCCCTCCCTTGTCAGGGCTGAGATGTGTAAATATTTGGAATGAATGGAGAGATAAACAAACATTTTGGTGCATAAAACATTGTTTTATTTATAAGATATACACACACTCCGTGTATTTAGCGGAGTGCTTGGAGTTCTGCTTTAAGACCTGGTTCACAAAGGATTGGACTTTAAACTGCACGACTTTACTTGACATTGCACAGCAGTGCGACTTGATAGACATCTGTGCAAGTCGCACCCTGAATTAGGGAAATGCAGTGCAGGAACTAGTTTTCCAATCAGTGAGACTCCGACTTCGAACAGTTCCATTGCCGATCAGTGGATGCATTGTGAACGGTCAAATCACACAAACCAGAGCTAAGCCTGTTTTTAAAAGCAATGTATGTGACCTAAAAATCCCATCCCTGTTTTAAGCTAAGTTTGCTAGAAATGTTTAAGGGTGTATGGAAATGTGCAGAGGATTTATTCAGATTTTCCTACTACTCTATGGACACAGCCAGTGGGGCTGTGCAGCAAGCTGCTTACTCGAAGTAGGGGAGTACGTATAACTTTTTTTTTTTTTTTTTTTTTTTTCTTTATCCACTTGGCCTCCAGAGGATCCCCCCTTCCTTCCTCATCAGGCCATTTTTCTTTTTGAGCTACGGCGCTATTAGTTTAACTGAAAATTGCGCAGTCATGCTACACTGCACCCAAATGAAATATTTATTTATTCCCCCCCCCCCCCCATCAATAGTTTTTTTTTCAGTGGTATTCGCCTGTGCATTTTTTCTTTTTTTGTGCTATAGAGACCGACCATTTTGAGAACAAAACAATATTTTTGACTTTTTGCTATTAAACATGTCCAGTAAGAAAAATTTAAATCAAATTTTGTCAAATTTAGGCCAAAATGTATTCTGCTACATGTCTTTGCTTAAAAAAAAAAAAAAAAAAAAATACCAATACGTGTGAGTTAATTGGTTAATGTGAAAGTGATAGCGTCTACAAATGGCAGTATATACAGTATGGCCGAAATTGTTGGCACCCTTGATATTTTTCCTGAAAATCAGTATTTCACACAAAAAAGGTATTGCATTAACACATGTTTTGCTATACACATGTTTATTCCCTTTGTATGTATTGGAACAAATATAAAACAGAGCAGAAAAGCAAACTTGACATAGTCACACAAAACCCCAAAAAATGGGCTGTGGCACCCTTAACTTAATATTTGGTTGCACACCCTTTGGAAAACATAACTGAAATCAGTCGCTTCCTATAACCATCAATAAGCTTCTGACACCTCTCACCCGGAATTTTGGACCACTCTTCCTTTGCAAACAGCTCCAGGTCTCTCTGGTATTGAAGGACACCTTTTCCCAACAGCAATTTTAAGATCTCTCCACAGGTGTTCAATGGGATTTAGATCTGGGCTCATTGCTGGCCACTTCAGAACTCTCAGCGCTTCTTTGCCATCCATTTCTGAGTGCTTTTTGACGTATGTTTTGGGGTCATTGTCCTGCTGGAAGACCCAGGATCTTGGACGCAAACCCACTTTCTGACACTGGGCCCTACAGTGCGACCCAAAATCCTTTGGTAATCCTCAGATTTCATGATGCCTTGCACACTTCACCCAGTGCCAGAGGCAGCAAAACAACCCCAAAACATCATTGAACCTCCACCATATTTTACCGTAGGTACTGTGTTTTGTTCTTTGTAGGCCTCATTCCGTTTTCGGTAAAACAGTAGAATGATGTGCTTTACCGCAAAAGCTCTATCTTGGTCTCATCTGTCCACATACGTTTTCCCAGAAGGCTTTTGGCTTACATTACACTCAAGTACATTTTGCAAACTGTAGTCTTGCTTTTTTATGTCTCTGTGTTGGGGTCCTCCTGGGTCTCCTGCCATAGCGTTTCATTTCATTAAATGTCGACGGATAGTTCGCGCTGACACTGATGCTCCCTGAGCCTGCAGGACAGCTTGAATGTCTTTGGAACATGTTTGGGGCTGCTTATCCACCATCCGGACTTGTTGCAATCTTTCATCAATTTTCCTCATCCGTCCACGACCAGGAGAATTGCTACAGTGCCAGTTGCAAACTTCTTGATAATGTTGCGCACTGTGGACAAAGGCAAATCTAGTTCTCTGGAGATGGACTTGTAACTTGAGATTGTTGATATTTTGCCACAATTTTGGTTCTTCAGGTCCTCAACAGTTCTCGTCTCCTCTTTCTGT